TGATGATGATGAGAGACAACTTCAGCATTGTCAATTATGAACTATTGCTGTGTTCTTATTTGGTATAACTCGTGATGCCATTCTGCTTATGGTTCAAGGTCATGGCTATTTGGTCACTCATGTATGATGCTGTTTGAGTTCTGGAATTCGCTATCGCTCATCTTCCTTGCACAGTCTTCAACACTTGCATCCTGGTGCCTAATGGCAAGAAGCACTGGCGCATCCGGCAAAGTGAAATTTGCAGTAATAGGGGGGACATGGCCCTTGGGGAACAGTTTCAGGCCACGATGACGTGATGAATATCCTCCAAATTTGAACGGGCGTTAGAAGAGGGTACTGCTAATCTGGGACTGGGCCCAACTGGGACTCGGGGACCGGGACTCGGGACATCTGTGCAACGTGAAAGCCCTTTCATGATGAGTATTCTGCAAAATTGAACCGACGTCAGAAGAGGGTACTGCAAATGTCAGAAATTGCAGGGTGACATGCAAATTATAGGGGCAAAAGTTGCTGCGCAAAACTCAAATTTTCCCTTTCTGTTTTTGCTTTCTAGAAAAGAAAAGAATAGAATCTGGCTCCATTCTATTCTGGGGAGCATCAGCAGAGTGTTAAAAAAAAAAAACAAAAAAAAAAAACAATAATGACAGTCGAACACGTCCTGTGCCTATTGTGGCCAGCAAGGAAACCACTGGTAGATATGTTAAATGGACCAATGCACGGCCGCAGCGTTGCAGAAATATGTTTGTCACGGACTCTGAAAATTATGTGGCTTGGGCCTACCGGACCATAATGGCTGGCAGCCATCAGCCGAAAAAAAAAAAAGTGCGTCACTGGCGGATCGGAAAGGCTCGGCAAGTTGGCACGCAATGCAGCGCCTCCAGACCCGGGTGTACTGGTGGTTTAAAAATTTAAATGAGAACCCAAATGTGGGTAAATCTGAAAATCACGTCCTCTTTTTTTTTTTTTTTTTTTTTTTTTTTTTTTTTTTTTTAAGTAAATCGCATCTGCTTTTTGGTATGCAGGATCATTCATTACCTCGAGGTGCAGATGAAGCGATGGAGCTGTTCAGATTCTTTGCAGAGACTGCTTATGAAGAAGCACCAGCGTTAAGAGCACCACCTGTAAGTCACACCGGCCCTTGAATATCCCTCCCTTCCTTTTTTCTTTTTTTTATCCCTCCCCTCCTCATAATCCTTGTCCTCTTTATTCTTCTTATGCCCCCACCCCCTCTCCTCATCACCACCCTTCCTCCTCCCCCGTCCTTGATCCGTTGCCTCTTCCTTGTCCTTCCCCCCTCTCCCACAGACATACACAACCGTGTGGCAGTGTGTCAGCTGCTGTCTTGTTGTTCGTGAGTTTGTGATGGCATCCTTCTCCGTCCTCCCCTTCCCGCCTTTTCCCTCCATCTTCTCACCTCTTCCCATGCACAGTCCCCACGCGCGCCCCTGCAGGGCCCACCAGTACTACTAGGGGGTCATAGGGTGTAGTCTGGGGCTGCTACCAGGTCTGTTAGGACCAGTACCGTTTCAGTCCAGGGTCTGGGTTAGGGCCTATGCTGTTAGGGGTCCGTTTTAGGGCCGTACCAGGACCGACCAGGCTTTGACAAATTGTGGCTTAGGCACCAGTTTCCCGGGTTTCGGGTTTAGGCACTAGTTTCCCAGGTTTTGGGTTTAGGCACCAGTGTTTTTTTTTTTTTTTTTTTTTTTTTGCACAAACAACCCAAGGGGATGCTACCGTCTTCACGTGAATAGAACGCCCGGTCATTATAGCTGGTATTTGGCACAACTTTCAGCCCAGATACGCCCGATAATTACCGGGCGTTCTATTCGGGTGAAGACGGGGTAGGGGTGCTGGTAAGAGCAGACACCACTAGCATTTCCCAAGAGGCTCCATCTATTGGTGGGGAGCAGCACCTGCGGGAAAGCAGGTCCACCATCCCTGAGCATTCAAGATTGGGGTTAGGCGCCAGTTTCCCGGGTTTTGGGTTTAGGCGCCAGTTTCCAGTTTTGACTCTTGAGTCTTTTGACACATTTTCGTTTCATTTTCGTTCTTGCGCTAGGTAGTTCAGATCGTGGCCCAGCTACGGAGCAGTTTCTAGGCAGCTTGAGGCTGGACTTCAGACCAACACTATATATCGCTGCCTGGCCGTCCTCCAGTCGAGCAGGTAGTAGTTCGAGTGGTGGGTTTGGAAACTGGTTTGTTCCTATTTTAATTGGAGTTGGGGCGCCTGATATAGCCTTTCCACGATTAAACAATATCAGCTTTTGAACTTTTTGGTTATTACCACGGTACCACCATCATTATTACTTCTTCTAAGTTCTGCTTTAGTGGAAGTAGGTGCTGGTACCGAATGGGCGGTCTACCCACCTTTAGTCGATGAACAAATAAGTGGTGTACCAGCAGTTAAACAACGACTTTTTTCCTTTCATCTTTGTCACGTTTACTTTTTTGTTATTTTGTAATCTTATTGGCATGATTCCTTATAGTTTTACAGTGACAAGTCATTTTGTGGTGACCTTTGGTCTTTCATTCTCTCTTTATATTGGGCTCACAAAATACATCAATTTCTCACTCGTGTCTTGGAACTATTTCTTGGTAATTTGGCTAATTTGAGAGTATATTCATAACGTATTTGGCATGGTAACCGCGGACCCGGACACCGGACACTTCCGGACTGTCTTCCGGAGCAGTGTCTGGACCGGTCCGGAGTGTCCGGTGATCCGGACATCACCGGACACCGGACAGTCCGGACCGGTCCTGGGGTGCAAAAATGTCCGGACCCAAAAAAAATAAAAATAAAAATAAAAAAAATAAAAATAAAAACGGGGGTGGGGGGGAGGTTGGGTGGGGGTGTTGGCAGGCACTTACCTGCTTTGCACTCTGTAGTTCAGGCAGCAGAGCACGTGTCTTGCAGCAAAGCAACCAGCACATTTAACCAGCAGACATGCAGAGTTGCAAACAGTGCAAAGCAGGCACAAGACTAAAGAAACAGAGAATTAGAAAAAAAAAAAGGTATGATTAACTTTGAACTTTGAACTTCTCTCACACACACATTCGCACACAACATACACACACACACACAAACATATACACACACACACACACACACATACACACACACAAATACACATACACACACACAAATACACATACACACACACACACATAAATATTTAGAACCTCATATATAACTTGAAAGTTCGAGCTTTGCAGTTCAATTCAGAACCTCAGAGTCTTCAGACTGGCAGTACTGTCAGTGCTCTCTCTCTCTCTCT